AATTCCCTACAATCACGCGCACAGTTATGGGTATTTCCGAACCCAAGAACGATGTACTACATTATATTGAAACTAACGGACCTCCAATTGCCGCTAAACCTAGACGCTTACCTCCGGACAAGCTTAAAGCCGCCAAAGAGGAATTTTAATACATGATGGAAAAGGGAATTTGCCGTCTTTCAAAAAGTTCATGGGCCAGTCCGCTCCATCTAGTTCGGAAACAAAAATGGTAAGTGGCGATTATCGCCGGTTAAATGCAGCTACAATTTCTCATCGTTACCCAATCCCGCGCATTCAAGACTGTATGCAAGTTTTAGAAGGAAAAGCTATTTTCAAAACCCTTGATCTTGAGCGGGCGTATCACCAAATGCCCGTTAACCCAGCTGATAGTCCCAGCTGTTAACCCAGCTGAAATTGCGGTTATTACGCCTTTTGGACTATTTGAGTTTCCGGTCATGATTTTCGACTTATGCAGTGCTGCTCAAACGTGCCAACTCTTCATGAATCAGGTGTTAATCGGCCTCGACTTTCGTGTACTTTATTTTGATGACGTCTTAATCGCCTCCTCTACAGAGCAAGAACACCTATCACATTTGAGAACAGTTTTTGAACGTTTTCAAAGGTACGGTGTTAAGTCTTAATCCTTCCAAATGCGTTTTTGGCCAACCAAGAGTATCCTTTCTTGGTCATGAAATTTCCGCTGATGGCGTTCGACCCCTTCCAGAGTCACCGCTATCCGCGATATGCCCGAACCATCTACAGTGAAGAACTTAAGATTTCTTGCTATGCTCAATTTTTATCGACGTTTCTTACCTCATGCAGTAACCATACAAGCACCTCTAAATTCTTTTTTGGTTGGAAGCAAGAAAAACGATAAACGCGTTATAACCTGGACCACAGAATCTTGCGAAGCGTTCCAAAAATGCAAAAATGATTTAATTTCGTCAACAAATTTGCAGTATCCTTCCGCATCTAAACCATTATCACTCTACGTTTATAAGGTATTTCTTCCGCTTTCCTAGTGTGCCTTCATGGTGTGGTGTGGTCTGGTGATTCTGCATGCTGGGCCGGTACTCCAGAGGTCCGTGGTTCGATTTCCGGCGAAGGCGGTTGCTAATTTTTCAATCTCTCTTGCTTCCAAATATCCTAATGTCTCTACAATGGCGCTCGAACTAAAAGGATGAGGATTCTCCACACCCAGGATTTGGCGATGGGGTTCCCTGAAAACATCAGTCGCCCTTTAAAAAGGCTTATGCTTTATGCTTTTCAACAGGATAAAACTTCTCCTCGTCAAATGAGACACCTAGACTTCATAGGGCAATTTTCAACAGCTATCCGTTATATTGAGGGTTCGCAGAATATTGTTGCAGACACCTTGTCTCGTATTGAAGAACTAGCCGTTCCTTCACCAATAAAGTTTGCTGTCCTTGCAGATGAGTAACACCAGGATTCAGAGCTACAAAACCTCTTAAAAAGCAAATCTTCCACCAATCTCAACTTGCAGCCGATGCAGCTGTCACCTGGAAAATCACTTAATTGTGATGTTCAGGATTCAAGATTTCGACCTTATGTTCCCTCCGGATTTCACCATGCCATTTTTAGTCAGTTACATCGTCTGTCACATCTTGGCATCAAGGCTTCGAAAAAAAAAATGATACACCAACGTTTCGTATGGCCTAGCATGCAAAAGAACATAGCCAACTAGGACACGTTCGTGCTTGGAGTGCCAAAGATCTAAAATTGTTAGACACACAACCAGACCAACTTTAAAAATTTTAATTTGCCCTCATCTCCCTTCAATCACGTGCACCTCGACTTGGTCGAGCACTTATATTTATTAATAATAATATAATACATGAATACAATTAACTACTATGTATACATTTTTCTTACCTTGTATGAAGCAAATTTATTATTTACTTCACCAAAGTCGACCCTTTCAAATTTTTCTCTTTCCACACTTAAAAATGCTAGATGACTTAAGGGATCTTGTCACATCGTTGATCGTAAATATGTGAAAATTTATTTAATATGCTGAACGAACGTTCATAATTAGCATTTGATAATGAAATAGTAAGTAGTATTTGAAGTGCGACACTTAGGTTTGGAAAAACATTTTATCTATAGATCTGTAATGGAGTTTTAGGTTCCGTTTCTTTTCTACTGCGGAGTAACGTCATACAGTCACATTCACTGCTCAAAACAATTAGGGGATATTGTGGGTTCGGTATGAAATAACCATATAATCAACAACCTTTTTGAACAAAAGGAAATAGAAGAGATTATAAAGGAAAATTATAACGTTTACAAAGTTGGGAATATGCAAATTTAGTCTGTGACGTCAAAAACTATGCGTTTTAGATAAGGAGTGAGGAGCTACCTGCAGTATTCCTTTTGTAATAGGAGATTAAAAACAATTCACATGCGTTGAATGCTTCGTAGCAGTGAATATACGATGTCTCAGCAAGATGACATAGTTGAATCGGTAGCCAGGAAGGACATCAGTCGTTTACAGGAGAGTCAAACGCAATCCATTGTAGCGGAAGCGTTAGGATTGTCCCAAAATGTCATTTCCAGATTATGGAATCGGGTTTTAGAAACTGGATATGTTTGAGAAATCGTTTTAAAATAAAAGCAGAACATATACGTGCATTTCGTTAAAAAAAAAATATAAATATATCTCTACTTTGGAGAAATAAAGTGGTCAGGAAGAACGTTTTGGTTGATGTACTGCAAACATTTTGTTACACATTTTATCAAACAAATCAAGAAAATAAATAATTAATTATATATAAATAATTACAATAGTTATTAAGTTTAAATATATTTTCCAGAAATCGATCAAAATGAAAACTGAAATTTTCCGGAAAATCTTGTTTGGAGACCATTTGGCGCCCCTCTACGAGCGGCGCCCGGGGCATCATGCACCCCCATGCCCCCCTCTCGCTACGCCACTGCAGTCCTTTTCGGTTGTTCTTCATTATTCTAATGCACACCGTGCAGTTTCCACATACTTTTCTTCTGCATGTATTACGTGATAATGAATGCCAACTTCTCTCCAGATTGATTCATGATAAACAAGCCCTTATCATAGAAGATGTTGAAACAGAGATCTTATCATAGAACATGAGACACTACAACTAATGCCAAACAGAGCCGAATCTGATGCTGCATACTTCTAAAGCTCTTGCAAGTTTTCATCACTTATTTCAAATTTGTTAGATTAACTTTACGTCGAAGAGTTGTTTCAAGGTCAAATATTGTAGGATGCTTTTTAGCAAGTACTTTTCCTTTTGAAGACACCACAGAAAAATGGCAGTTCGCACCATTTTAGGCGATATTACGGGCACAATTTTTTAAAAGCAGTATGCCTCCAAAAAGAAGCTTGATTCTAACCATGCGTTCTTACGAACTGTGCACATAGTACTGACATAATAAAAGTAGCCAATCGTTTAAAACGTATCGGCCAAGTCATAAAAAACTACTAGGCCAGCGAATGGTCATCTGAACAGATTATATTGTGGTCTCTTTATCAAAATTATACGGAAAGGAATACTACTAGCGGCAGGATACAAAGGAAGCTATTCAAATGAATACATATTCATTTTAAAAGGATTCTTGAGAACTAATTAAATGTACACATTTACGAATACGACTAAGATTTGTCTGAACCCAGTGAGAAGAAGTTTCTTAAGAACACTGGCTAAAGCTTGGATATCACCCTTTTTCCAAATATAGATGATGGTTGTTCTACCATTTTTATATGCTACGATCCAAAACTATTACCAGAATCAGAAGGCCTGATATATACTGATATAAGACAAATTGTAGCACATCTCAAATTCACCTTGGCCACGCTTATTTAGTCAATGCATCTTATGTCTTTGTTTCCATCGTCTTTCGCTTCAAGCGTCTTGAATGAAAGTACTTGTATTAGGTTGTTTAGTGAACATTTTGACATCCTTTTAAAACCTTCAAAAGTACTTAAAACTGAGAAATTTCTGAACTTGTGGTTAAAACTTCCTCAGAGTATACATTGTTTATAACGTATGGATATTAATCTGACGCAAAATAAGTCAATTAATAGATTTGACGTCTGAATGAATGAGGTTATTTATATTTTAAGACATGGCACTCAGCGAAACTAATTCGGAAAAAAAAATCGCCTATTAATTGCTGAAAAAACGCTGTCTTATGTAACGGTAAAGGATTGTTGTCATCACTTGGTGACTGGAGATCTTCCTACAAAACCCATCACGGAACTTAAGTTACAAGGCTAGAATTACACAATATAGGTTACCAATAATGATGGTCTATGCGTGCTTGGATACATCTGAGTATCAATAAAATTTTTAAAGCTTTTTGTTGCAAGCAAACTTCCAATGGACAATTTAATATCACGATATTTTACACGCATCTCTTCCTAAAAATTAAAAGCAGTGCTTCGTAAACTGAAGATAACCGAATTTTATAAGCAAGCCTTTATAATTCCCTTCATAAATTTAGAAGCCTTTCGAAGGCCTTCATTTTCTGGTGATCTTGTAATATACCGTTGCACACACATATGTACTATATGCAATGGATTTATTATGCATATTATATAACGCGCATGGGTTCGGTTTGATAGGTTTATTTAATTACGGCACGAGGTTTATTTAATCCTCGAGACAAAGCACTTGAGGATTATCTGTCTAAGAGCAGGGAGGCTTTTGTAGAGAACTTTCGAAGGGAAACTGGCTCATATATACCTTATACATGGGGAAAACTACGAATATGTCCATGCAGCCAGCTCGTTTGCCAGGATTTGAACCCCAGACTGAACTGCTAGTGTTCAACATCTTTTCTACTCAGCGACTTTACCCACTTTACTGCTGTTGGGTAGTAATACTCCGCATAAAAAGTAACTTGAGAGCATGCAAAAATGTGCATTTAACATTTCTGAATCCTAAATAGCTATCTTTTAAATACAACAGTAGGCATAAATATCTGTTATCACTCACCTTATCACCTTTTTCACCCTTCTCGCCCTGAAATAATAATAAAAAATTAAATATTCAGTAAGCCTGAGAAACAATACAATGTAAATAAAATACAACATATGCAGTGAACTCCCTCATGGCGATCACTACCAGTAGATAACCACCTCTCAAAGTAATCAGAATTCCTTAAAACATAAAAGAACATCAGAAAAAAGCATCAATTCTTTATGCGATCTGCTCCGTAAAATATCAAAAACTATCTACAGGCGTGGTTTTAAGAAAGCTATCTAAGTAATGAAACGTATAATATAGGCTATTAATAGAATTAATAACCGTGTCATAAAAGAATGAAACACAATTTAGATGTTGGGATTAGATGGGGGGGGGGAACTCATTAGTAGATTAGGGCATAATATTTTTTCGTCCAGGTTTATGATGCAAGATATCACATCTGAAGGCTTCAGTTTTGAATAAAAATAAACTATTTGTGCATTCAGAAATTCTCTTTATCTGTAATAAAATTTGTTAGATTACGTTTACTTATAACATAAATTTCTCAAATGTTCGTAAAATTGAGAATGATTTAACAGTTTGCTAATGAGAGAATTCTTAAATACACTGATAACACTTTTAAGCACTTCAATAAAAACTTACTCACCGGATCTCCCTTCGGCCCATCTATCCCAATGGCACCCTAAATTTCGGAAACGAAAACAGTATTAGGATTTTGCTACATTTCCATAAAATACACAGATTTATTTCAGAATTTTTTTCCATGTTCCACATCCCATTAGAAACACTTCCACAATATAAATCAGAACTGTTTTAGTGAAAATTAAATTATCTTAATTAATTTTAAAAGCAATCATCAAACAGCAAAACAAATGTTTCTGCAATGAATTTCTTTAAACGGAATAACTCCTTTTTACCCTGCAAGAAAGTATGAAATGTATAAATCACAGTTAATCTCACTCTCATATATAAAATTCGTATGAAAGAGAAGAACGGAAACGCAGAGTGCAGCCGTTAATTTGTGTTACGTAAACATCTTTATATACCATCAGTCGTCATCAGGAAGCTAATTCATGATCAAAATATAGTTCATATATATATGTACTTAATATTAGAAATTAATTGTTATCTCCTAGGAACAGTATTTCAATATACGAGTATATCTAAAAGAAATTACCAAAGAAACTACAGATTTTGTCATAACACTCAATTTTAATAGTACTTACCGGAAAACCAGGTTTCCCCGGCGGCCCAACTGGTCCCTGCAAGCATACAAAAGCATTATGAGAACCATAAACTAGTAACAACAGGATACAAATTTCTCAATTAAATAGGCATGTATAGCACTATTTCTTTGCCCGGGACTAGTTAAAACACGTCCAAGAATGTCTTATCCAGGTGGTGCTGCCATCTAGTGTGCTTTGTTGCATATACAATGACTAGGACTAAATATTTCAGATTAAAGCAATTGTATAATTATTTATTTTCAGCATCTACTTAAATTAATTGTTGCTCAGAGAGTAAGGAAGAGGGAAAAAATTCCCCTACCACTAAAGAAATTATAAAATATTTTTTAAAATAAAATATGTTATAAAATATTTTGAAAGGGTATCATCATCTTCAAAAATATTTTTAGGTGCAGGAGTGCTTAATGCTAAGTTCTACATATTTCTTCTATTTTAAAAACGAAACTAACGGAACAAAAATGAAAAAATATGACTGATTATATCTCTCTTTCGACATTATATGTTTCAAAATTCGCAAAAGCACAAACTATTTGATATGACTCACATATTTATAACACATTTCTCCTTCACATATCCCTTGTATTATATATTCAACATAATTACATATTACTGTTATAAAAATTTCCAAAATTTACAGAAAATTATGCACAATTAATTTCCACATTACCCTCTTTAATGCACTTAATTGGTTAAATTAATAACACAAGAATAGATTTCTCCCACCTACGTAAGCAACTTACTTGTTTTTTGACCGAAACATAAGATACGAAGAATCAACAATCTCGAAACTTAAAACCAAGCTATTTGAAAGCATAAGCTTATTTTTTGATAAATTCAATTATTTTTCTTTTCCTTAATAATGAATCTTTTTTACATAAATTCGAATATATTACATTTATAATATAATTTTTATTAATTTTAACTACAAGGCAAAGAACTAGTTTAAGTTTTTGCTTGATCTGAGAAGATTTTAATAAACTTGAAATGGTAAGATATAAGCATAGGATATAAAATCTTTGTCTTGCGATCAGTCATAACATCAGCTAGAACAAAGATATTTAAGGAAAAGGAAACTTTGCGCAAAATGATTTACGTAATTTTTCAAGAAACTGACGTAAGTCCTTTAGCAAAAAATAACAGAACAATTGAAGAAATAGAACTGTTACTTGCTTGCAAGAAATGTAATTGTTCGAAACGATCTTTTTGCCGAAATGAATTTTTTCTAGCATTCAGCAGTAGTTCAAAAGTATTCATTTGGGCGCATATTTACACTGGATTCATAGTTACGATATTGGAAGCCGAATATGAACAGTAAAGTGGACGCAGTTGCTCATATTTGGTTGCCTTAGCAAAAACTTAAATACAATAATGCAATCGTTTGCTTCATGGGCCAAGATACTTCCTATATGCTCATTATTCTCACGGGTATCACAGCAAGTAAGAAGTTCAAGCTTCTCTTCATTGTATGAAACACATGTCGATTGGACTTACTGTGCCGCAGGAATCATCGCGGGATGGGAATATCTAACAGTCCGAGTTTCAAAAAATTTTAAATCGCGCAAATGATAACAAAATAAATAAGCAAATAAAAAATTTAAATAAATATATTTCATTTTCCTAGCATTTACTCATAGTTACTTACAAAAAATTAGTATCATCAGTTCTGATTTTGATATCAGAAATGAAAGCAGAACTTCAGGCGTCCGAATTAACTATGGCTACACCCCGTCCTAATAACTGCTTTTTCTCTCTCCATTTGTGACTGTAAGCGATATTTACTGCAATACAAGTGAGAAATTTTATTTTTTCGTTCCTGTTGGTTTATCTGAATAAAGATTATAACGTCAGAAAGAATCTTTTTTATAATATATCAGTGAAAAAATGAAAAACCGCAAATGAATAAACCAAGAAAAGGAACTGAAGTGTGGTAATTTCTAAATGCAGTTTGAACCTCAAAGAACTGAACACGAAATTTTCAAAATAATTAAAGCAGTATTTTTTCAAAAAATTTTAAATTGCGCAAATGATAACAAAATAAATAAGCAAATAAAAAATTTTAATAAATAAAGAGAAATTTTTAAAACCTGAAATTTAATTTTCGTATTCAGATTGCAATTTAACACTTGGTTTAAACTGAAGAGTTGGTTTTCTACTTTAAGAATAAATCCTCAAAAATCCTGTAGGGTTTTCCTTATTTTGCATAACAAATTTATTTTAAGTTTTCCTGTTTTAACCTTCTCAACATCCCCTCACATTCTCTCGCTAGGATGTAAATTTAAAGTTAAGTGCTATTTAAACGTGTGATTATCTCAGTTTATTCAGAGCGTGTTTCGCTAGCCAAGCGCACGTTTTGCTGTTATTTCGCGGTCACGCTAGTAAGCCTCTTGGCCTTATCAGTTTAGTACCACGCCGGTTAGATTTCTATGAGTCCTCCTCTTAGGCGTAAATTGAAGTGCATTCTTGCACTATTTATTTTCAGATTTGACTTGTATTATAGTCTACGTTTAGTTACCACCGCAAGAGAACGGTGTTTTTGTAACGCAAGAAGTCCGTGCCTTTCTGTTAAATTAGTTTGAATTAATTAAAGGGTTGTTTCCCACCCTTTCTTCTATGCTGGTAATTTATTCACGCCTGTGCGAGAATTCGCCAGGTTCATTGTAGGATCTAATTTAGTTTATGTGGAATAACAGAGATAGGTCTTACAATCCAAGATAGAGAATAAAATATCTATTATCTAGAAACAGCTGTTGAAAACAGCAGGATCTAACAGAAAACTTGATGCGACATTCTTGCTTCATAATTTAATGCCATGGAGAGACTTTTGCACCCGTTTTATAAAGAGAAAATCTAATTTTTCAAGATGTAGTTGGCTATTCACTAACTGTGTATCTTGCGCGTGAGGCTAGTAACTAATACTTGCCGCAAGAGAAATGACAACGATTTCTCTTTTGCAAGACCAGAAATTTGCATAGTGAAATCAGTTGTAAAATTTCATGGTAATTAACCTTTGTCATGATTAGAAACTTCTTCTTTCCGTAGTCCCAAAGAACCTGGCTAGGCGAAGCATGTAATCATAAAACTAGTTTCCGTAGTCCTCATCAAAGTGCAAATTAGTTGCACAAGCCAGTACGTTTGCATAAGCGATAGCACTAAAAGGGTCTGAATGACATTGATTGAAGATTTTATACAAGCAGAATTCTACACAAAACATTTATACATTTATCAGGGGTTAATAAGCTTAATTTTTACAAAGATCAGGAAGGACAAATGTTCCAACGGAGATCTATTGTAACAATCCAGGTTAACTGAACTTCAGTGAACGAAATCCGGGTACTGAAAATTTCGAATATTATGATAGGATAGTTGGATTTCTTAAGACTCGTACTGTGAATAATTAGAGGTTTTGATACCTGCCTATTAAATTGGATGTAATGTAATGTAATATACGAGTGTGCTCCAACCCTCTTGGCCGATAATATGGCCTCATGGGTAACACAGCACACCCAACACAGATTAAAAAAAAAATACTGTTAAAAACATCAAATCAAAATTACCCATAGTGCCAAAGTCATCAAATCCTTCGATCCTAATAATCTAGATATTGGAATTCGGAGCACCTAGCGTTTACCGGGTCATTGCAGTTATGGATACATATGATTCGGAATCACCAGGTTAAGGTACCGGAAAATAGCCTCCGCCACAATTAATTATGTATCAGCTAATTTTTGTTACAAACTAAATAATATTAAATTTATTTTTCAAGAAATATAATGTGGGTAAAATTCGCTTCCTTCGTGAAAGCTCATAAAGAAGAAATAAATCTGGCTAAAATAATAAATAAATAAATAAAAACCATGTTTCTTACAGGTGGTCCAACGTCTCCACCTTCTCCTTTTCGTCCTCTTTTTCCTCGCTTGCCCGGCGGACCTAAAAGATGAAATGAATAGATCAGTAAACCGAACACCAGTAATTATAACAAAATCTCAGAAATTACAAAGTGATACTGCTATCATTGTACGACTAATAGGGAATTTCTGGAGTACTGCCCACTTCTAACTGTACCTATCCTTGCAGTGTGAAACATGTAAACTAAACAGAACATATTTACTGTTTTTGATAGAAAGCTATTGTTAAAAACAGATTTAAGATGTTTGTGGACTGCTGTTCTGTGTTATGTTAACATGCCACTCAACTTTGAAAGTATTGCTTTTGCACAAAACATGCCGCTAATGATAATGCCTGCATGTTCCACTAACCTAAGGCACTAAACGGAGCTTACCTTTTTACCTCGATATTAGGTGGGAGATAAGTTTGCACCAAAATATCCTCAGAGAGGAATAATAGAACGTCTCACTCGTCACAACCACAACCGCTTTCAAACTTTAGTAGCTCTATTTTGTCCTTCTCTTATTCTCATTACAGGAGAGTATAATCGTAAAGAAACTAAAATAAGAAAATGCCCATACTTCTTGTCTTCAAGGTTGAACTGATAACTACCCACGAAGATCTTGAAGAAAGTGTTCGACGGAAGCTCTCCTCGGAAATAAAATTTCATGTAGACTTTCAAGCAACAATCTTTGCCTTAAAAGATGCTTCACCAGTTACAATATTCTGATGAAAAAGGTTTCTCAGCCAATTAATTGGATCCCAGAAGAAATCCAACATGACTTCATAACATACTTTTTCAAAGGCCATCATTCTATACTTCCCCCCCCCAAAAAAAAAAGACTACAGGGCAAAATCAGAGGCACATAAATAATCGCTGGTTTCAGAAGAAGTGGCATTTTCTTGATCTATAATATTATCACTGCCGTACATAACGATTTCTAAATTTCTAATCTAAACAGCTACAACTCACAAAATATTAGGCTGTCTAGCAGAGATTTGGAGACAACACATTTATTTTACTCTTAAAATTCATTTAAGAGCTGAAACATGTACAGTCTATTATTATTTACAGCCTGTTGACATCTATAGGCATATGATTCGTAAGTGCTGGTTTTGGATAAGACTGAGGTTGGAGCTGGTCCAAAAATTCGCAGTCTTTTACTGACAGCTAATAATACCCTTCTTAACCATTGCCGTTTATTTGATCCATTATGGTGAAAGACTTGTGCTGGCTCGTATTGAAAAGTAAACACTCATCAAACCACTACATATGTCAACATTCAAACGCGGGACAAATACCTCCAGCGGTCATATCTTCTGAGATACTACAGGAGAGACGATTATCCTGCTCATATGGCTGACATTTATTTTCCAGGGTTACCTACATCAAATGCCTTAATTTAAGTATAAGCAGTCATTCATGCATCATATCCATTCTGCATGAATCTTTTTTGTAAACGGATATCTAAACGGCTGTACACAATGCACAGAAAGAAGTATTTATATCCAAAAGCGTTGAAAATTTCCCCAAAGTTCAGGATATTTCTAGAAATGTTCAGCAATTATTCGAAATTTCCACAAATCATGATATTCACGGAGAAAATAAAATAATAAAAATAAAATGAAATGTAAATATATGAATTTAGGATTACACTTTTGATTTTTTTCGTCTATAAATCTATATATCTCGTAATTCTGAATGAATCAGAATTTAAATTGTGAAAACAGCTTAGTTAGAAGCCGAAATTATAGGCGGACACTGTCTTGGTGACAATTTTTGTCGCGACGACGTTTTGGAAGTTCCTGGAAAATATGTTTCAGAAGTCTAAGAGAGATTGTAATTAAAAATTTCCGAACATTGGGCAATAAAATGTAAAGGTTACGTTCAGCCAACTGAGTTAGTTGAAGTTCGTTCAGTTAGTTGAAGAATTATGCAAGTATATTGAGCTATTATTCAATAATTAATGCTTTAAAGTTTACTGAGTGACTAATACGAGTACTTTGTGTATTTTTTGCATACTTACGAGAATTTACCTTATCTCTATTGTTACTCATGCGCTATTTTCAGACGTGTACTTTGCTGTGTTCTATTATTTTCTGTAATAAAACATCAGTTTCTTTCTGCTCATATGGCGTAGTTATTAAAGATAGATCTGCACGAACCCGCAGCTTGTAACAATATGTTAAATCATTAAAAGTCGTTGTACAACGCCTCTACGATAACGAGCATCATTTCTTTGTGAAATTACGGGAGTCTTTTCTTTTCTAATAAATTCTGACAGCTGTTATAGAAGCCCACGAACAGAAACGTGCCAGCACGTGCGGACTGTGTACCACAATCGTCCATTACTCATAACTGCAGGTTCTTTTCCTAAAGCAGAGATACAGATACGTGCAAGCAAAAAAGAAAATGAAAGATCTTTTGCTAACGACGTTGCAAAACATCTTCCGCCGGCCTGCAATGATCCCATCCTGTGATAAAGTAATCGTGTATTACAAGCACGAAAGCGAGCTCCACAGAAATTTATTTTTCTGCTGGGACATAAGTTATGATAGTGTCTTGAATGTACTTCGGCAGAAGTTTATCTCGCAGAAGGAACTTTCTGGGTGACGTCCAGCATATGTGGCTGCTTAAATACTCAAGGAAAAGCCTAGAAATATGTATATAATTTAAGCATTAAATGTCTTACAGGGGTAAACACTTTCCTTAACTTACAAACTGATATCATACTGTTGCAAACCGAAGTGAGATAGCATCGTCTGCAACAAATTTGCCAAACAAAATAAAGAAAATTTTATCATTATATCTTGGTGTGTTGGCAGGGCATAAAATGATAAATCGCCAACTAAGTTACTGTCAGAAACCTTAGAGATATGAATTTAAAGCAGAAAACCCAGGAGTTTATTCTGCACCTAGGAGAACATAATATACCACATTAAAACATTTTTGATTAACTAAATCTGAAAGGGATCTTAAAAATTATCGGCTTGTGTATTTTAAATTAAATGTATTCTAATTTATATAAAAAAGATTCATTACTAGAGAAAAGAAAAATAAAGATTTAAGTTATCAAAAAATGAGCTGACTGCTTTTAAACTGCTCAGTTTCTAAATGAATAGCAGAGTGATTAAGGTCGAAAGCTCGAATGAAAATCATGTTTTGCTGAACGGCAGCACCCTCAGAACTGATTATTTCGAAGGCCGTACGAAAGATAAATCAAAGCTTTTATGTTTTGTACAACGCCAATATTTGTCAAATCACATAAATAATATATACATGTGAATAGCAGGACTGTCATAACTCAACAAAATTGACTATATCGCAGTGAGATGAATGATGGAAGAGAAGGAGAACAGTCGTGCTTTCGACTCAGACGTAACGATTAGCCAACAAAGATGCAACCTCTCAATCATCAGCCCTTTTTTCATTTGTAAATAGCCACTAATGTATCCCCATCGATACCTAAATAAAATAATTTAGTCACCTAGATGTGTATCGTCAGCTAGAAATCCCCTAAATGCCGAGTTCACATTCATGCTAGCGTATTCCCCTTTGAGCTAAAAATATTTAAAAACAGTTATACTTTCCGATAGACAGTCTCCCGCGTAGGAGATAATAATGGTTTACTCCTTACAGTGTTGCCACTGCTCTCTTTGAAATCATTGAGATTTTTAATAAAAAATTCGTAATAGATTTACAAAATATGAAATAGGTAATAAATTGAATTCGAAATTCAAAATTCAGTTTTGACAACGTTGTCATGGTTTGTTTTACGGTCACATGAGCAGGGGACGTCTGCACTTACTTTCGAACAACATATACCATTATATAACCACTAGCATTAATTAAAAGAAAATTAAATAAATTCCTGCTTAGTCGGAGTAGATATTATTTTGATTGAAATCAGTCAAAACTGAAACTTATGCTGCCTTCGATTTCATCGAAATTATATTATTCTGCACCTTAATCTTAACTTCTATACAAGCTATCTTAAAAATGACATTAAAACATATTTCATGAAGTACAACAAAGCTTTAAATATTTTTAAAAATTATCAACTAATCATAATGTAATTTGTATCAGCTAGATAATATAAAAAATGATAAAAATAAATCGAATGAAGTACGTTAATATAAGGCGTTAAAAACGTTTTTTGTTAATTATAATTCTCCTTCATGCACTGATAAAAACAGCCCGTGGACTATCTTTTAAATTGCACTTACTTTAAATTATACAAATTAGACAGATTATTAAAAATAAAATAACAATTTAAGTTACTGAAAACTATGTTTAATGCGCATTGAAGCGCCGTGTTAAGAAATTACAGTTGTCATTTGAAAGATAAAGTGGATTTTATTTGATGTTAACCGGAAATACGTTGTAAGCCGCCTATTTGTCAGCCTCGTGGTACATAAATTAGACTCTTTGTACTACATGGAATAGCAACATCACTGACACTAGCTACGGGAATGGTAATTTCTCTGGTAGTATACTATAATGCAGTGCGACGCAAAACATGGAAAGCATTAAGCTACCAACGTATACATATATTAATAAATAACCTAAGCCCGTAATTTCTAAATTGCTGGTCACAAAATGTTATAAAGTAAACTTTTTTTCCTTTAAATGCCATCTGCCCGTAATTACGAATTCATTTTAATAAGAAACCAGTAGAGTTACATCAAACGCCTAAAACAGATTTGTAGAGTGATTAGGATTTTTTGAAGCAGGAGAGATGAAAAAAGAGCAATGCCCTCGCCGGGACTCGAACCGCGGACCTCTCGAATACGTGCCGAGCGTGCTGACCACTTCACCACAAAGGCATGCTAAGAAGGCGGGAGAAATACCTTATATACTCCTCCTTTTAAAGGGCGACTGGGGACTAGAGGACCCAATTGCCAAATACTGGTGGTTGCGAATCATCATCTACCACCCTTTTAGTTCGGGCGCCACTGTAGTCATTAGGATTTTTTTGAAGCAGGAGATATGAAAAATGACCAGTGTCCTCGCCGGCACTCGAACCGCAGAACTCTCGAATACGCGCCGAGCGTGCTGACCACTACACCACAAAGACATGCTAAGAAGGTGGGAGAATACCTTATAGATTAATTAATAAAAACAACTTGAAGGCTATCTCCGTATGGGGAAAGGATACTTTTGTGGAGGACTCGTTAAGGGAAACTGATTAATATTTAGGTTACACACGAGGAAAAACACGATAACTATGAAGCCATTCCATTCGTCAAGATTCAAATCCGGATCAAGTTAGCAGGGCTTAGCGATCTTACCCGTTCGGCCGTTGAAGTGTTCAACTATATAAAAAATAAAGTGTACGACTGAATCATTATCATGTAAATATGCGAGACAGTGGCTTTCAGCCACCTTATGCACAAAAATGTAGTTATTTGTAAGTGGCTTGCAATATATCGCGAATGTACGCAAATTTGTGAGGCTAAAAAATGCTTGGAAACATTGGCATAAGCACGGATTTTCTCAGACCTCTTGCTGGCAAATGTTGACATGCTGCAAATTAGCTCGAACGAAACAGATGTGATGGCAGTATTATTGATGTTCATTCGCTGTCAACATATCGGTTCATCATGAACTAACTGCATCCGTAACCGACACTTTAATGGCAAAGCGAGATCTTTATCAGGGAAGGAAAACACGAAAGGGTAAAGAAAAAGGGTTTCGCACTCAACCGATACCGAGGATGACAGATCGTGCGGTCACATGACAACTGACACTTGTGATTAAGGGGAGTTGGTGATTCATCGATTACAGCTCAACTCCTCTCTGCAGGCTCTAAATTTAGCGGTTTTCGCCGTAAATTTCCACTAATAATGAACGTGTCACGTGCTTTGGCAATGCGAGACTTGACCTATGTAAACAGCGTTTTTGTTTCTGTAACTGCACTGAAATTTGGTCGCTTCGTTTTCACGTTTTGTAGCATAAGGAAAATTATCTGATTACGATATGCTTTATGAAATTTAGCATTTACGAAAAATCTAGGCTAGTTATATTTTTTGAGCATCCAAAAATATTCGAAGAGCATTTTCCAAAACGATGAAACTGGAAAACGTAATTCATAGATTGTTTCAGGCAATGAAAGCATGAAAGTATACCTTTAATTTCGATTGCATGTATGCTTGGGACAATTTCGCAGGATCTTTTGATTTCCTTCGAAAAGCATAATGAAAAGAGGGACTAGGTAAAACATTTATAGTAATTAATTCATAATATATGGTGTTAAAATGCGCTATACTCCATGGTGGATAATACATATATGGTGTTAGATGCAAAATTCACAC